GAGCATGTCTGCGGCCGACGGAGAGGGCTGGGATGGCAACCGGCAGCGCGGAGGGGGCAGCGGCGACGGGCCGGCGGCCCAGGCCCCGCCCGGGGGGCGGCTCAACCGCTTCGTTCGTTTCCCGCCCGGCCCCGGACGCGGCGGTGAGTGAGTGGGAGGTCCTGGCCGCGAGGCCCTTCCTTGCTCCGTTTGCCTCTGGGCTTTCTAGGCCCTCTTCCCCTCGCCACAACACCCCTGCGAGGTAGGCTAGGCTGGGCTGGGCGAGACCGGCCCAAAGTCCCCGGGGAGCGCCGGCCGCTGAGCTGGGTTGGGACCCGGCTCTCCCTCGCCCCGGCCTTGTCTAGCGGGGCCCCGTGAAGGCTGCTGGTGCCTTTTGGACCAGGAAAGGCGGGTGGGCGTGAGTGGGGGCGAGCTTCCTTGCTCCAGGGCACTCTATCTGTGAATGACGGTGCTTTGAGACTCGGGGCAGGGTTGTGGCTGTTTTGTCACAGAAGGAAGCAGCCCATAACTGGTCTGGATTGCTCTTAGAAACCAAGGGAGGTCACCCATGGTTATGGTTAGTGCCTGGGTAGGGGACCACCAGGAAATCCCAGGGTGCAGATAAAGTAAGACGTTGAAAGCACACCTTGAAAAAGGCGATGGATCCCCACTTCCCTATTGTTGGCAGGGAAACTGTGTGGATAGGCTCACTGAAAGCTGAACGCAACTTGAAGAAGATTATGCTTTTTGCTCTGGGGCTTACTACCCACGTGAAAGTAATAGAAAGTTATGCTATCCGGGTTCAACAGTTTCGGTCAGCGTTGGTTGCAAGGGATTTTAAAAGGGGCCACAGAAGTGCATGTGGCCCAGCCCTGGTTTACTCAAGTTGCTCAGTTTGCTCAAGAAGCTGGACTGAGACACAATTGGCATCTCAGGTGTTCAGTGTGCTGTGCAAGCTGTCACTGTCAGGCTGAAGGGGGTGAAGAGAAGCTTTGGGAGATTTGGCTAGACCTTTGGTTACATTTTTGTCAGAAGACATTGTGTTTTGCCTAATGTATTTTATTAAGCTAGTTTAAGAATAACTTATGCTTGCGTTATTTATTATTCTCTTCCAAATCATTACTTTCTGTTTTGTGCTTGTTCAAACCCAGGTACTGGGGTTGTCCTAACAGAAGCGGTTATCCCATTTGGCACCGAAAAAGTTATAAATATTAGAGTTGTCCAGTATGTTGACTAAGCGTCCAAAAGTCCATTGGAATGTGCAGGAGCCTAACTTTTGGCAGTTCTAGAGGAAATCTTGGATTCTCCAAGATGCTGCAGAGCAGACAAGTTCTACTTTGGTGCACTTATGTGCTCGAAGCACATAATGGTGGTCAAAGTGCTGTGCATAGTCCTAAATAAACCTTAAGTAATACAAGGTTCAGCTCTGCGGTTGCTCTGAGGATCATATCTGGAAAAGTGACAATGTGGCTTGAAGGTCCAGAAGGTTACAAACTATGATTTTTTTACCTTGCTCTCCAGAACCTTTGTGTGTGTGTGTGTGTGTGTGTGTGTCTGTGTATTTGTATGTACTAAGTTTGTTGTCAGTGTTGAAGACCTGTTTTAATTAAGCTGCTCAATAGCGTTTGGTCAGTCCTATAAGGCTATATAGAGGGAAAATTCTATATAAGGTTTAGTGTTCTCTGCTTGGGCTTACTTCTTTCCTTCTCATGTAAATTGGATAGGTATGGGACTCATGTTCATGGCTAGTAGAAAGTGAAGGAAAGGAAGCCTTGAAAAGTAAGGTCTCTCTGTGTGCTGTACATTTTTTTAGACATGCTGAAATTTGCAACTTATCTCAGACTTACTCCAGCCTTGTCAGTTATATGAGTATTATTTTAACTTCTGTCTTTTGTTGAGATAATCAAGTAGCTTTCCAAAGGCCAATTACTGATAGATTGAACTGGGTCTATTTATTTATATAGTTCACATTTTTTTGCCACTTTGAGGGACAAGTTCCAAGTAATTCCTAGCTAGCAGGCTGAATGCTGTACTCTTGGACTTATGCCACTCCTCCTCTTGTCATCCTGGCTCTCCTAGCCAGGTATCAGTTGAAATTGTCCAGAGGTGCTTTCAGACGCAGCATTACAGTATTCTTCATGGGTAGGCAGCCCTGCCTGTTTTAGTTTGGACAAAATATCCCTTCACATTTCTTTCTGATTTGGGACTATGATGCTGAATCTTGAATGCCTAGACCTTACTGGTGTGTGGTACATGAGGACCTAACTGCAGTGAGCAGATTAATCAAATTCCATAAACAGTATTTTAATTTGCAACGAGTGAGGACTTTTCACCTCAGGGTAACATTTGGGGAACATGATATCCAAGTAGTGCATATACTTTTCCTGTTCTTGATCAAAAATGTATAACACAATTATATAAGCATGTTTATAAACATATCCTGTTCTTGCCCTTTTTTTAAGGCTAAGAGAAAGTCACTAATACAAAGCTACTCAGCTGGTTTCATGCCTAAGGCAGGACTAGAAACTCCTGGTTTCTAATCTGGTGCCTTTAACCACTACACCAAATTGACTTTCTTTCTGTGCATGTCCAGGGTGAGCAAAACCTACTGTTCCAGGAACAGAAAGATTGTGGAGAATTTTTTTTTTTTTTTTACTGCTAGACCATGCTGATCTGGCTTTCCTGAAACAATAGATTTTGCACATATGGAGTCCATGCTAATATGTAGGACTTGTCCCCAAGCAAATCGGAGAAAGATTGCAGTTTTAGTTGTTGTTGTTTCTTTCTGGGCATATTTTATTTAACGTTTTATATCCTGCTTTCGTAGGTCAAAAAAGATGCCTCACTTGGCTGAGAGTAAAGGTTATGGTTAGAATCAATTGCAAGAAGGAAAAAGAAATCAGAAAAGGGAAATAAGAGAAATATTCCATCTTATGCTTAACAAAATGCCAGCTTCCAGGCAGCCTCTGAGTACTGCAGGGTTAGAGCTAAACCAGATCTCCTAGAATTGGGAAGCCCAGAATGTGCATGCCGCCGCGGTGAATGTTTTTTTCACCATCTCCAGTTGATTTCTGGTGGCAGAATGTGGAGATCATCTATCATAATGACTGAAGGCACTTTTGTGGTGGAGTCATTTTTAAATATTAATCATTTGGATTTGAAATTTTGAAAAATGTAAGGAAATGAAAAGAAAATGAAAAAATTCCCTAATAAGTGTGTCTGCTTCTGCTTCTTGCCACTGCCAGAATTGTTTACATCTTTTGACTGATCTGTGCAGAAAAAAATTAACATTTTAATTCTTTTTTGCTGTCTTAAAGCAGATACAAGCTAGTAGTAGTTTCCTGTTGATAATGCTGAGAGTTGCTGCTTGTTCCTTCTAGAAATCATAGAGTGTATAAATGTATCACACATACTTGGCTCACTTCATCCACTTTTGAATTTACACCAATAGCAATGACATCCTGTGTGTGTGTACGCAAGCCAGCTGAATTCTACCATGTAAATATGTACAGTACTTATTGTACATATTACTTATTGTAAAGATTGCAATACTTATATTTGGATGATTAATAAATTTACTTGGCAGTAAATTCCACTGAGGTTAATGGGCTTATTTCATTAGTTAATGAGCAGAAACACTGCTCTGGGACCTGTGGTCTTTTGAGCTACATTGAATTTGAACCCCTCTTCTTAGGGTAGCCAATGTTTTGTGGTTTGCTCCTTGCTTGTTTAGCTAGTTATCAAGCTTCTAAAGGCTTGCACTGTGCTGTGTAAATGTAGTTTGTTTGTTTTTTTCTTTTCTGGCAACTGTGTTTTTATTAAGTTAATGTTTTCTTGTATGGCAATGAATTGGGAATTTGTAAATCAGAGAAATTAACCATTTTTAAAAAAAATGCTATGAAGTGAAGAGGACTTGGATTTTTTGGTTACTCTATGACCTTGCATAGGCTGTGCGTCTTAAACTCCTCCAGTGATTCCTTGCATCAGCTCTTCTGTTTTTAAATTCTCTTCTTTATTTCATTTGCTTGTTTCATTTCAAGCATTTGAATTTATAACTACTGGTGAAAGAATTGCATTTCATGGTAAATAGTCATTGTAATTCCATAAATGAGGAGAAAGCAGGTATGAAGTCAAGAACATGTGAAACTTTGACTTAACTGACCAATTTGGAGGAGGGAATATTATTAGTATAATTAATAACAATAGATATTATCTATCTATTAATTCATAAAGAATGTCACCTACAGCAATATCATTAAGCAAATGAATGAAATTGTGTAAGTGAATGGGAATTTCTTCTGTGTGTGAGGGTCCTCTGAACCTAGGTTTCATTGTATAGTGGCAACCTCTGGTCACTGAAGTTTTTTAGCATATGGCTTGCATCTTGCTTGAGGCTTTCTGCAGAAGAGAAAGCTGAGAATCCTAGGAATGTGTTTGGGTGTGTTGGAACTGATGGTACTTCCCTGCAGGATGCTGAGATTTTATCCATTTTGATGTTTGCCCCACAGCCTTAGCACTTCGTTTGGCGCATCATCCAGTTTTGCCAAACTGGTTTTATCTCATCTCTAAATTATAAAAAGGCTGTATTTTGCTTTAGGCCACAGAATTCCACCAGCCAGAAGTGGCCACCGCTGCGTGGCAGACAACGCCAATCTATATGTGTTTGGAGGATACAATCCTGACTATGATGAATCTGGAGGGCCGGAGAATGAAGATTACCCGCTTTTCAGGGAACTCTGGCGATACAACTTTGCTACTGGCACCTGGCATCAAATGGGCACAGAGGGCTACATGCCTCGAGAGCTGGCATCCATGTCGCGTAAGTGCAAGTGGATGAATTGCTTCCATAGTTCAAAATTGATCTTGCCATTTGTTCTCGCTTTGTATTCCTTTTCTTATCTTTTTGTTTTTTAATAATTTTATTATATTGTATTTTCTCATTTTGTGTGGTTTTATTGCACACCACTCACAGTCAGTTTAGTGTTGGGTGGTGCCTAAATTGAATAAATAAGATTAAGCATAGAACCCACATGTTTCTCTGTGCAAAAACTATATTAGAATAAGATTAGATTGAGAATGATACTGTGGTCAAGGTTGTTGTTGCAACTCCTGCATGTTTGGATGAAGCGGATTATCTAGACCCTTTTCAGTCTGGGTTCAGGCCGGGGCACAGCACTGAAGCGTCACCGGTCACACTTGTCAGTGACCTTTGGAGGGCTCTTGATAGGGGTGGTGCAACCATTCTGGCCTTCCTGGATCTCTCAGCAGCTTTCAAAACCATCAACCGTGGTATCCTTCTGGACTGGCTTCGGGGGTGGGGAGGCACTGTGTTACAGTGGTTCTCCTCCTTCCTCTGCGCCGATTCCAGTTGGTGTTGGTGGGGAAGAGGGGTCGAGCGCTAGGCCCCTACAGTGTGGGGTGCCTCAAGGCTCGAGCCTTTCGTTTCTTCTTTTTAACATCTACATTAAGCTGCTGAGGGAGGTCATCCACTGGTATGGGGTGCGGTATCATCAGTATGCGGAAGACATGTAATCTCCATCCCTAGCTGGACTGGTGATGCTGTGGTGGTGCTGGTTGAGTGCCTGGAGGCTGTGAGGGTCTGGATGGGGAGGAACCAGCTTCAACTGGGTTTTTGGCCCCTCAGGTCCAGGTGATATTTCATCTCTGACTCTAGATGGGGTGGCACTCCCCTGGACTAAGCTGGTGCGCAATTTGGGGGTCCTCCTAGACTTACCACTCCTTCTCAAGAAGCAGATGGCAGCCATGGCTAGGGCGGCCTTTACAAAGATTTGTCTGGTGCACCAATTGCGCCCCTTCCTGGACCGGGAGTGACTCGCTCATGCCTTGGTCACTTCCCGTTTGGATTACTGCAAGATGCTGTACATGGGGCTGCCCTTGAAAACCACCCAGAAGCTATAACTAGTCCAGAACACAGTGGTGCACGCAATGATGGGTGCCCCTAGGTTTACCCATGTAACACCCGTGTTGCGCAAGCTGCACTGGCTCCTGGTTTCCTTCCAGGTGCAATTCAAGGTGTTGGTTATTATTTTGAAAGCCCTACATGGCACAGGGCCAGGTTATCTGCAGGACCGCCTCTCTCTAAGGACACCTATCTGTCCTACTAGATCAGATAGAGTGGGCACGTTCCTAGTCCCTTCCCTTAAACATTGCCATCTTACGGGATCTAGGAAGTGTGCCTTTTCCTAGGGGCAGCCCCTACCCTATGGAGCACCCTTTCCCCTGAAGTTCGGCAGGCCCCCACCCTCCTAGCCTTCTGACAAAGCACTTAAGGGTTTTCCCCCAAGCACTGAGGTAGGGTGATATTGACGAGAGGACTTAGTGATGGACTGCATGTGAAAGTTTAATTGGTGCCAGGTTTTTTAATTTAGAACTGTTACAGAGGGAAATGAAATAATGGCTGCTGGAATTACATTGCACCTTATACCTTCTTTTTGGGACACCCCCCCGCCCGCATTTTGCTTGAATCCTATGGACCTCTGAAGCATTGTTTAAGGGGCAAGCAACTCTCCATGAAATTCTGATCTGCAGGAGAGAGTGGGTGTGTTTGGTTGTGGTTCAATGCCATGGGTTTTCGTTAAAAGAAATCAGTGTAAACACTCTGTATAACTCAGCAACTTCTATTAGGTGCCAGCTCCTGGCTGACCTTATTTGGGCTTGGAAGCTAAGGGCTGGCCTGGTTGATATTTGGACGGGAGGCCGTCAGGAAATCTCAGGGCTGTAAGCTAAATTGGGACCCACCAAAAATCCCAGAGGAAGACAGCAGCTAACTAGTTCTGTACTGCTGCCAGGAAAACTGCATGGATGTATTCTTCTAATTAGCAGGAGCTGAGAGCTTAACCTGAGGAACTTTATTTTTAACTGCTGATGGGTGAAATTACATGTGCTTGTAGTTTTTTTTTAATGTTTTGATGTCTATTTGCATACATTATTTACTTTTTGTGTTGTACCAAGACCATAATACTGCTCAGGGGTTCCTTTTCTGTTCCTTTATGGATTATTCCTCTTGTGCAACCACTAAATGTATTTGCAGTAGATCAACCTCCTTCTTGCTTCTCTTGTTCACAAAGCCCATTCTGTGTTTTATTTTGCTGTTTCTCACCAGTCGTGTTGCATGGGAATAACCTCTTGGTCTTTGGTGGCACCGGGATCCCATTTGGGGAGAGCAACGGGAACGATGTACACGTCTGCAATGTGAAGTACAAGCGTTGGGCCCTGTTTAATTGCCGAGGGAAGAAGCCAAACCGCATCTACGGGCAGGTACAATTCTGCCACAGGCTTCCTTAGGCTTGCTTAGGAAACCGGTTGAACATCCAGGGAACAGTCCTGCTTTGCTGGCATTTTCAGTTCAGGTTTCATGCAGCCCCTCAGTTCTGAAAACCAAATGAATAATGTTGCACTGAGGACCCTAAGGCAAAAAGGAAACTGGAACAAGAGTCAGGTGCCCCACCAGCCTTGAAATTCAAAGAGCTTCGTTTAAACCACAGGTCATAAAGATAAAGAAGTGTTTGGAGAAAAAAAAAGATGTTTTAGATAGGCACAAAGTGGTATTACAGTATATCCATCCATCTATGCACTTACGTTAAATGGAGAAACAGCCCTTTAGTCTCTTATGAACCATTTGTCGGGCTCTTTCCAATCCAACAGCTGTTCCTGCTGCACTGCTCTTGTTTTGCACAGATACTGTTATCAGGACTCTTGCCTCTTAGAACTGGCAGGGGCAACGGCAGAACATTCTCTTCTTGGAAGCCTTGGTAACATGACCTGAAAATGATAAATTTCAGCTCTTTGCTTGGAATCCTTGGTCCATGCTCTGTAGCCATGTTTCTTATCCCATGGCGTTGATGTCTAAAATGTCCCCCTCTCTTGAGAGATTTTAAGGCTGTGATCCTAAATATATTTCCTAAGGAGCAAATGCCATCACATGGCAAGATTCCATTTAAAAGTCAGCCCTAATAGAAATAAAGTCTTAAATCACTTACTAATGTGCTAAACCAGCTAAGAGTATAAAAAAGGGTAAGTAAATTACATCAGCAAGTTTTATTATTTATTTATTTATTATATTTATATAGTTATATAAATACGATACTTATAGTTGCTCTATAAACCTTTCAAATGAAGTGACGATAAAATGAATAAACCAAAGCAATATGGAACAGGGAGGGAATTTCTGGCCTTTATTATGTTGCACCAAATCTCTCTGTTGTTAGGATCTTGAAAGTAAGCAGTTGTTCAGTGAAGCAAAGTAGGCAGTATTGTTGAATGTGCGTGCTTAGGTCTTCTGTGCACGTGAAGCGTTTAAGAGAGTGAGATTAGGTGTGTTTTAGTGACTGGTTAGAAGAGAGTTTAAATAAGAATATGATTGTACGGGCACAGACGTGGTCAACAGATGGGGCAATCTTTGCTGCTTTTGGCACTGATGTCTGACATCCCTACTCTTTTGTGGTGTTTAAGATCAAAGGAAAAGTCATGGCTGCCCAAGAGTTGAGGGTTATTAGTGGAGCATGAACTGGCTGCAGCCGTGTTGAAATCAGGCAGTTCTGGGATTGTAACGTGCTTGTGAAATTTAGGAATTCACTTTGAGTTTCTAGGTGAGTTCAGAGAGAGGAAATGTCTTTGCCTTCAGACCTCAAATCATACTTCCACTGTGTTCTTTTCAGCTGGGACAGGGATGACCTGCCCTCTCCTCAGTTTTTCAGGCGCCCTCTTCTTTTCTCCCCCGCCAGGCTATGGCTATTATTAATGGGTCCTTGTACGTATTTGGAGGAACGACTGGCTATATCTACAGCACAGACTTGCACAAGCTGGACCTGAACACCAGGGAGTGGACACAGCTAAAGCCAAACAACCTGCATTGTGACATGCCAGAGGAAAGGTCAGCTGAGCCAAAGTCCATGAATGTGTGGCCCTCTTGTGCTCCGAACCAGACAGAAGCTGATCAGTCTTTCATACTTCGTCTGTACAGCTGGTCCTCTCCTACCAATGGAAATTGGGACCGAGATCTCTGTCATTAAGTGACGTGATCATAAGCTGCGATCTCATGCAACCATGCTGACTTACTATGGCAGTTATGGCCATCCCAGTTGCCGTTGTTAGGCAAATTCCACGTGGTCACAGCGTCCCAAGGACCTGTTATAAGTCCCCCTCATCCAGCGCCATTGTAACTTCAAATGGTCGCTGAACGAGTGGACCTTAAGTGAGGACTACCAGTGGTGGTGGTGATGTTTGCATATGTTTCATAATAATACATTTTATTTAATTACTTGTTTTTGTATCCACCTTTATTTGTGCAACTTAAGGCAGTGTACATAAGGCTCCTGCCTCCTATTTTCCTCACAACTTTTGATAATATTACAACTATTGGCTTCAAGTATCATGCTAAGATTTGTTAGGTTTGGCTTAAGGTTATGTGAATCCAAATGGTTGGTGGCTTGCTGGGCCATGTGAACCGGTTATTATAGTTTATTCAGCAGGCATGATGGGGGAATTAGTAAGCTTCCCCGTGCCTCTTTCCCCATCTGTAACACTTAACTATGGGGCTTTTCTCACCCAGCCCACTCGGCCCCTTGTGGAGGCCAACCATTTCTGCAGATAGGCCGGTCTGAGAAGCTGAAGAAACAGCAAGGCGACCCTTCTTTAAAAAACCTCATAGCGCACTGTTGAAACTAGTTACATGTTTAAAAAACGTAAGTAAGGTTACAAATATCTCTGTCCTTTCAGATACAGACATGAAATTGCACACGATGGGCAGAGAATTTACATCTTGGGCGGTGGGACTTCTTGGACCGCCTATTCCTTGGACAAGGTAATATGTTCACCGGCAAAAGCCTTTTAGCAGCTTGATCTTTAACTGGTGAAGAGAGGATGGCGCTAGCCCCATAGAAAGAGTAATGGAGTTGCAGAGCTGAGTACGTGTAAGGTTGAGGGATCAGAGTGCACCACTGACCCAGTGAATGGGAGTGACTGGGTTTGAGGCAACTGCTAGCTACATTGGGGTTGGGACTCCCAGAATTCCCCATTAGCTTGATGTTGAGAATCGTGGGAACTCTGAAGGGCGCGAGGTTTCAGTCACACCTCATCTCTACGAGGACAAAGATAAGGGTATAATGTAAGTTGGTCACTTCTGAAACCAACTAAGGGGCCAGATGTTCTTCTCCGCCCCTGCTTAGAAAAGTGGGAGGTGAACCTAAGGCAGTCAGGAAGAGAGTTAATGGGAGACCCAGGCTTGGTGGTTTAGGTGAGAAAGGACCTCTGACCTCTTTGACATTTGTCAAAGAAAAGGCAGCTTGTCCTGAGGGAATGCCCAGCCTTCACCATTGACTTTATGATCTCGTTTGCTCTTTGATTGTAACTGGGTGTGCTTACCTATTGCTTAAGATTCATGCCTACAATCTTGAAACAAACACTTGGGAAGAAATCGCAACCAAGCCTCATAAGAAGAAAGGTAGGCATTTACTAAACTGTATTTGTTGGTAGGGATGAAAGGGCATCTTTGAAACCCAAAAGAGAATGAGTGTGTTAATGACTTGTAAGTGCAGGAAGACAAATCATGATCCAGAGGCGTCATTCACAACCGTTGACTCTTCTAATTTTATTTTTAAAAATCGCCGTTTATTTGTGTGGCTTTCAGGAATTGAGCCTGAACTGATGAATGCTTTTCCTTTACCATAGAGCAGTGCTTCTCAGCCTTGGCAATGCTGGCTGGGGAATTCTGGGACTTGAACTCCACACCTCTTAAAGTTGCTGAGGTGGAGAAACACTGCCATAGAGTTACTGAAACTTGCATAAATGCACTTAAAATGACTGATACAAAATAGTTGGATATAGGTTAACTCTTTTAGGCTAATATTTCCCTATTGCTAGTGTAAGTGTTGTTATGAAAAATGTAGATTTAGGTTTTTGGTGAAAATTTGACTTGTCAGAGATTTTTTTCAATTATTAATGCAGGATTCAAAATAAATTATTTCAGTTACTTTGTTCTCTGATGAATTTGATACTTAGAATCTTATCACACTTTCAGGAATAATACCCACTGCACATACATTTATTTAGGATAGGTATTAATTCAAAGTAATGTCTGCATACATTTCAAGCTGATACTGATTGTCTGTGTCCCAGTTTTTATTGTCTTGCTGTCCTATATCAATTAAGCTTTCTAGATGCCCAAATACATGCTCATATAAGACTTTTTAAAATCATGCTTTAGAGAAATAGAAAATTTTCTCTCATGGCACTCCACTTTTTCAATTGTAAAGATGGAAAGGGCAGTTGATGTTGTAGAGTTTTGTGAATCTTTCAGAATCAGAAGCACTGTGGATATTCTCCCCCCCTTTTGAGGGGGGACTGATCACTAATAAAAGAAGCCCCTTATGGAATAAGTAGCTCACCTTCAGATTTTTGACCCACAGATTACCCTGCAGCCCGGAGATGTCATAGTTGTGTACAGATAAAAAATGGTAAGAAATAGTTAACTTTGGGGCATGTGCAACAATAGAATGTTTTGGGTGAGTGGAATTCTGACAGGAGTAAATTGTGTATTTAAAAGACAAACAGCACAAAATCTGTGTAAGAGTATATTAAAGAAAATATTTTTAATAAAACCCAGCCGTGTTGCACAGTATTTGCTGTCACGTTCTCATAACTGCTAGACAAAATCTGGCCCCATTACAGCCCTTTGGCCTGCTAGCTCTCTGCCGGGCGGTTCTTTTACGAGGGGTCTGATTAATATGGTTTGTAAGTCCCTATCAAAATTATAGTGCATCAGCCCATCTCTACATGGGACCAGCTTCCTTAAACCTTATCACTTTTAGAACTGCCGAGGTGGAAGGGGAGTCACTCTTGGAAAAATAGGGATGGTGGTTGTGAGAAAGGGAAGGCTGTCTTTGGAATGAAGTACAGAGGGAGGAATAGCGGAGGCTCTGAGCCTGAAAGACACGATGCAGAAATCTCCCTCGCCTCCCACTGCACAGCATTTATTATGCCTCGAGAAAGAATTTTTCCTGTCGTGCACTTCATTTTTCTAACAGACCTCTGGAGTAAGCAAGGTTGGGAATTGGTAAGCTCCGTGGCTGAGTGGAAATTTGAATCCAGACCCGCTCTGGTTTTCCTTGAATTGCGACTCGCTGGATTAAGGGATACAATTTTCCCATTAAGAATTGTGGCTCTCAGAGAGAGGGGAGAATGCCATAGGCAAAGTTGCCCGTAAAAGAAACCCTTTAGAAAACTCTCACTTCTCATTCCAACGTTGATATACTGATGGGGGGAAAAACCCTTCTTTCTACTCTCAATTCAGATGTCTTTGTCTGTGGGGGATACAACGGAGAAGTCATCTTAGGAGATATATGGAAACTGAACCTGCAGACCTTTCAGTGGGTGAAGCTCCCAGCAGCGATGCCTGAGCCGGTGTATTTCCACTGTGCTGCTGTGACTCCGGTAAGAGGTTGTAAAATCCCTTTCCCTAGTGAGCCCGATGCCATTTCCCACCTAAAAACTCAGCAGAGGCTGGGCAGAAGAAGTGGGAAGCAGAGAGAGGGATGTTAGTTCACCAGACTCCTGTGAGCTCATCAGGGTGGGTGGAGGCGTCAGAGGAGACAAGATGCTGGTCGTGACTGTGCAGCTGATGCCCTGCCCTTGTTTAAATGTGTTGCACGTGCGGTGTGCGCAGAGGGGGTGAGGGCTAATTCGCATCTTGACTCTGACGCTCCCCCCACCCCTGCAGATGCCCCTGGAGCCCACCCCACCCTGCTGAGCTGCCATTTGCACCAGAATACATCCCATCCTCCCTCCCCAAAACCATGAACTAACATCACATCCATGGTTAGTAGATTCTTAGTAAATTGGGAAATGTTGTAGACATCTCTGTCCAGATTCCAGCAAGCCGTTTGACAGGGTACCCTGTGACATTCTGATTAGCCAGCTGGTTAAGTATGGAGTGGGTGGTGTGGTTATTCGATTAACAGCTGACTTGGAAATCATATTCAAGAAGTGTTCATCAATGGTTCATCATCAAACTAGAGGGAGTTTAGGGTAGCACAGTGTTCTGTCCTGGGCTCTGTACTCTTCAGTGCTCTTATTCGTGACTTTGATGATGGAGAGAACCATCATTACCTTTGCAGATGACACAAAGTTGGGTGGGGTAGGTAATGCTCTAGAAGAGGGTTTCCCAAAGAATGACCCAAGTGTGGGTGGGTGTGCACCCAATCCAGGAAGGGGCAGTTGGTGCACCAAATGGATTTGCTCAGAGGCCCTCTCAGCCATGGCTGCCACCTGCTCAAGCAGGAGAGGTGAGGCCAGGAAGACCCTCAAATGGGAACTGCTACCCCATTCAGAACTAAAGTCCCTAGGAATGGGAGATCCATGAACCTTCAGGCCTGCACTCCACGCCATGTAGACCCTCGGAGCCTCCAGACCTGGGCAGCTGATAAAAATGCAGAATACCAAATAAGTAAAAATTTAAAAATCTGGGGCAGCCATTAATAAGCAGTTAAAAGCCTGTCAAAGAGTTGTGGCTCTACAGATTTTCCAAAGGCAGAAGGAGTTTGAATTCTGTGACTCTGGAAACGGGCCACCCAAAGATAGCTGGGGTCCTTACTCCCCAGGCAATGCGTGGGGTGCTTTGCAGCCCTTCCTCCTTCCCCACTTCTGGCTTGCTGCCAGAAGGTGTCAGGCAGTGCGTTGGAAGCTGCCTTGCTGGGAAGAGGCCGGTCTTGCTTCCTGGGGGCCTTGCGAGACGCAGCTCTCCCAGCAGCGGTCCCTTGTTGTTTCTGATGCTCCACAGGCAGGCTGCATGTACGTCCATGGAGGAGTGGTGGACATTCACCGAAACAGACGGACTGGCTCTCTCTTTAAGATGTGGCTTGTCGTGCCCAGCCTCCTGGAACTGTCTTGGGAGAAGCTCCTGGTTTTCTTCCCTCACCTAGCAAACCTCAGCAGATCGCAGCTTTTGCACCTCGGACTGACGCAGGGACTCATTGAGCGTTTGAAATGAACTTCCTGCTCGCTGGCGCTAATTTAAAAAGTGGCCCCCCTCGCCCTTCTCTGTCGCTCGTTCTCTTTTTTCTCTGTATTTATGGTCCTGTGGCGGACACTGCTAAGGAGGCAGAAAGCCCTGCTCTAAAGCCTTACTCTGCAAAGTACTTCAGATGCCTTTCCTGTTATTTTTTTTATTTTAAAATTTATTAAACTCTGCTTTTTTTAATTTATGGAGACCTATAAATACATCATGAACGAAAGCTGCTGTTGCTGAAATAATTTGTACTGGTTCTGCCACACGCTTGTAGTCTCGCCAGGCGAGGATCCGGTCGCTGCCTTCCCACTTCTGGCCTCTACTTCCTCTCTGGTAAGAGGTGCTGCTCCGCATCGACAGCGCTCGGCTCCCTCGGCATCCAGCGAGGCTCTTGTCCTGCTCCCTGCTGGGCCTCTGTGAGGGGATTAGAGCAACCCAGTGCCGCCTTGTCCTTGGTTTGTGATCCTTTTTCAGGTGCTGCAGCAGGCAAAAACAGGCTGCCCCTTGCAGCTGTCTAAAATGGGTCACTTGTTGCCCTTTCATGCTGAAATACCCCGTGTGAGTTGTGTTTACATGCGGCTGCCGGCTGACTTCAGCAGAGTTGCCTGACCCAGAAAGGTCAATGCTGAGTTGCCATTCCTATTTACATCCAACACAAGAAGAGTTATTAGGAAAAGAACCATGAAGATAAGCTGTTTTTTTCCTGTTGCAAGTGTGTTTGTGTGTGTAACGGGGGGGGGGGATCCAAGTTCAGTGCTGCAGCTGTATTGGCAACTAATTTTTCTTCTGCTGTTCTTACCACTGGCCTTTTGAGTTCTTGCTTTCAGACTTTTTTTTTCCTTCAAATTTTGAAATCCTGTTCCACTTGGATGGGGATCTTCCCTCAAAGAGGCTTTTTGTTAGTCAGTCCTTCATTCCCAAGAAAGGCCATGCTATAGCTGGTTTGTCTCTTGTGCATGAGCAAAATCCTCTATATTTTGCTGTGAACAGTATTTGCCTTTTTAAAAAATGCTGGAAAAAGAAACCATGTCTGTGTCTTAATTGTTGTTCTGAATGTTTGTGGAAACTGATTCTGTAAAATGTTACCCCTGATTTGGCATCAAACCATAGCTTGAGAAATGAGGGTCCTGATTTTGTTTCTTTTAATGTGCTTGGAAGCCTGCTGATGGTCGTTGTTCACTGTTGTCTTTGAGACTGGAGCGCTGCAACTCTTTCTGCAACCAGCGAGCGTGGGGGAAGGGGCGCTCGGTGCTCCCAGTACGTGGCTTGGCTCTGAGCAGGGTCAAGCACCGCATGGACCGTGATCCGGCAGACCTGTCCCTTGCCCTCGATATGCAAAGGCAGCTCTTGATCCTGACTCGCAACCCCAGTTTGTTGACAAGTTTAAATCCATTGGCCTATTAGCAGAGAATTGTTTGCTCTAAACATACGCAGGGGGAAGATGGAAAAGAGGTACCCTGCCTCCGTGTCCTCCAGCCTGTCATGGCTGAAGGAAGCCCTCAGCACCGTGCATTGGCCTTGCAGAGGTTCTGTTTGCATGTCTGCATCTCTTCCTTGCTGTTCCTGAAAGAAACTTGCGGGGCGGGGGAGTTATTCCAGTTGGCACTGACTTACCAGATTTAGAGAGTCATTGTTCTTCTGCCTTTGTTGTCTCCTTTAAAAGCATAAAGAACTTTGTGGTTGTGGGAAGTACCTTTTGTCTATATAATCCCTTTACTGCTGGAAGAAGCCCTCAAGCCCCAAGACTGTAAAATGGGGGGAAAGATAGCTGGCTGTGGGTGGGGGAAGCAGAGGTTGAAACAGACCCCATTTGGGAGCAGGAGAGGAAGTCAGGTGGCAGCCACATCCAAGGAGGGATTTCCCTCCTTCTATTGAAAAGATGCACGAACTGCCTTTTTCCCTCGCAGGTTGAAAGCCCTTTCAGTGATTTTGACTTGTAGAAAAGGGGGGGGGGTTGGTTCATTTTTTGCAGCTCTTCCTTTTTAGGATGAATGATTAGAGCGAGGCTGGCTTTCTTTTTCCACAGCTTCCCCTCTTTTTTCCTAAAAGTGACAGAAACAAACTTGTGAAACAGTGATTTTTTTTTTTTTCCAGTAGCCAGGGTTCCTTCTGCTGACAAAATGACAGAATTGTTTTTTTTTTTTAAAAGGCACATTGCAGTACTTTAAAGATAAACACTTTTATTATAGCATAAACTTTTTGAGACTGTGTAATAAATTGGACTTTGTGGAAAAAATAAAGTCAACTGATACAGCCCCCCGCCCCCGCCTCGGCAAAGACTTGGGCCATGTAGGAGGCAGGGAGACTTTGTGCAGCTCATCCCAGAAGGAAGCAACCAGCATATCCTCCTTGCAACAGGCTGTAAGATAAATTAAGGATGTAGATAAATTTCATTTCTGTGGCCCCAAATGGGCCAGCTCCATTTATGTAGCGGAGTCCTAGTCAGAGGCTTAATTTCTGCTGATCTGCCTATCTGGCTCACCAGTCAGCGATTTTGACTTAGGCCAGGAGGTCCGTGAGTTTGAACAGGCCAGAGCAGTTGTGGAGTCTGATGTGATGGCCTCGGGTGGGATTCCCTTTGAAACCGCAAGAGTTGGAGCAAAGCCCAAGGAAGGCAGAAGAGGCTTTGTCAAAAGTTGAAAGGTTTCTCCCCCCGCCAGGTGTGCCGGGGCCTTGCTACCACAGGGAATGGCAACCAGCACTTGGGGAAGAACTGCTTAATTTTGCATACAGCTGTCCTCAAGCCACTCTTAGTTCATTCTGTAGTAACTGAACAGAGAGGCTTTGGGTGTGTTTTGTATACTGCCCCTCTGATTCCAGTTCTTCACCCCACCCTCTCTCCCCATAACGCCATCCTTATTCCAACTGGCCCAAAGGCCAACTCCCAGTACGGGTGAATTAAGAGCTACCGCAACCGTACTGCCTGGGAACTAGTTCAGAATATCAACTGCTCCCTGTCTCTCATTTAAATGTCATTTGTTATCTGTCTTCTTGGCACTTGACTGAATAGGCAAGTGATGCCTTTCCCTCGCCTTCTTTTAAGCCCTTATCGTTTGGGTTGGTTTTATCTTGAACCGTGGACCAGCCATCTACTGTATTGTTTTATTATAACTGCATAATTCACTGTTCTGCCTTACTGTGTTTTTTTTGAGTTCTGTGAATCCCTTACACCATTGTGAATTTGTTTTCCATGAACACTGTAGAATAAGTATCAATGCTCTGCAGTCTCAACCAACAGCGGTTTCACAGAAGAACTGGATGCCCGCCCTTCTTTTCTCGCTGTTGGTCCAGGATTCTGCACAAAGGCCTACTCCAAATGCATGATAATGTGCCCTCACTGCAGACACAGCAAGAAAGCGGCTGGCTTTGAAATAAGTAAATCTGCAACTTTGGAAACATGGAAGAGGGAAAAGGCAAGGAACATTCAGCGGATGCCCTTCTCGAAACAAGCAAAAGCTTTGGAAAGCAGGTGATCTGGGAAATATTCGGCCCACCGCTTTCAAGGTTAAATGTACTGGCAGGGACCCTCTGACAGGACGCTCAATCAACTAATAACGGAGATGCCACTGCCTTTGCGGGAAAGAAACGCTGGCTAAAACAAATGTTGTAAAATGCAATTCCTATGTCTCCACCTCTCCTTCTGTGTCAAGTAGTTACTATCACATCCATAACTGATGTTGAATAAAACAGAGGTTAATAGAAGAATCATTTACAGCCACAATAATTTAACCTGGCCTTCTCGTACCAGGTACACGGGAACTATGACTCCCAGGGCTTCTAGTCTGATGGGAACTGTAGTCTCAGACTGGAGAAAGCTGAGCTCTTGTGCTTCCAGAGTACCATCAAAGCCTCATGTCAGATCCAGGGGAGTGTAAAAGGAACAGGTTCTACTCAGTCCACCTCTGCCTTTGGGCTTCGTAAATTTGACTTGCTGTGTCAAATTTCTTGCTCCTCACGAGGCCTGTCACATCCTCGGCACCCAGAATCTCCAGCCAATTTAAGCTTCGAGGAGTGTGTCCCAAGCAAATACGCCATTAGCCTTAGTGACTTAGAAGGCTGGGAAATGCAGCCTGCAGCATGAGTTCCCCAACATGCTTGAGGGCTTTGGTTCGCTTTTCTCTTTAAGGGCAGAAGAGGTACTGTGGTTCTGGGCAACATATGTAGGATCTCTCCAATCCACAGATTATCCTTCAAGCACACCTGGCAAGAGGAGCCAAAGAGCCATAAACCTGGCTGGCTGGCCCGCCCATGGGAGTCCTTTTTTCTGCCTCTAACAGAAGCTGGTTTACAAGCCGGGGGGTGGGGGGTGGGCAGGAGATGCCAGTTCCACAGCTGCCTCTTAGGAGCCAATATTCTCCCATGATGGGTACTGAAACAAAATACATCTTCACCAGTGCACCATGAAGAATATGTTCAAAATTGGCTTCCTTTATTTTGTGCTCCATCTCAAGATCAGTGGCAGCTCGACTCGGAGGCGTGTTTGTCTGCAGCAGGAGCTGCGCGGCAAAAGCATGAGGTAGCTGCGAGGAGGAGATGAAACAGAGCATGTCCCTACCCAGTCTTAAAAATTGCCAGCGTTCTTTCGTCCATAGGAGTCATCTTCAGCACAACCTCTTCCGCCCCAAAACTTCCTTCGCTGGTCATCAAGAGTTGGCCACCACCTTCTGCAGCTCCCACCCCAATCTCTGTAGGGCTTTATGCTGCAAGGACACCGAGAGGCCCATTAGCTGGAAGTGTCAATGGCTGCCTTGGGACATAAATATGAAAGGAAGATAAAGTCTGTCTTGAGCACTTCCCTACGAGACAGTCGTTTCTTGGAAAGAAGCCCTCGGGGGAAGCTACTGCCTTTCCAGGAGGCAGGAATATGGAGCCCAGCGGAGTGAGAGTTCAGCAGCCGGCAGGAGAAGGAGCAAAATAATAAACAGCCAGGAGGATAAAATAGACCATCACCAGCACAGTGCCTGGGAGGGAGAGAGAGAACAATGTGGACAGTTAGAGGAGGTAGCAGTCCCCCAGTTGGGTTGGGGGCAGGATGGCAGCCCTAACAACACTTAGATTGGTGAAATATCATCAACCGCACAAGAGTAGGCAACCGGTGGTCTTCCCGAGGCTGCCGGTCTCCAACTCGTGGCCTCCCTCCCCACCAATAAGACTGGCAGGAAGTGCTGGGAATTGTTGACTAGGAAGACTCGAGATCCATCCCCACAATTTATAAGGCAATGGCCCCTATTAATAGTTTTTACATTTCGTTCCCTCCTAGCCCCATTGTGGGCATGTCCTCTTCTCACAAAATGCATTCATGCTCCTCAACTGCCTACGCTTACCAAAGTGAAAGAATTGGTATGGTGTGAAGGTGAAAATGCTGGGCTGGCACCAAGGAGAGCCAGGTTCTAGTCCGTCCTCAGCCATGGACATTCACCGGGTGACTTTGGATTAGTCATTCTCAGCCCGAGCTATCTCACAGGACTTTTATCACAGCTTTGTGCTATAATAAGGATCTTAGTTTTTAAGGGGCCACCATATCTTTTAACTAAGAGTTCCATCTGAGCACATCAGGAACCTATCCAGGTCACTTTCCAGGAGCTGGTGATCTTCTGAACTGGGCTGCCCCAAGCAATCAATGTCTGACCCTTTCTGGAAAAGTTTTTACCTTGGAAGTAGTCACACTTGCCGTCCATAAAGATGTAATTCATGAGGACCACACTGAACATGCTAGCGTAGACGTGGAGGTCACTGAAGACCAGGATGAAGTCTGTTGGCTGCCAAAAAGAAAAGGAATGAGTCAGTCTACAACAAGCCCCAAAGACTGATGGCTGAAATCCAAGGGCCGCTAGATGCCTGGATTTTTTCTCTCTGGAAAACCAAATTCCAACCAGAAATGAGAGCTCCTTTGTTACAGCTGGGGAGAGGTAATTTCAGAGGGGCATGAGAAGGTAATGCTAGCCCAGGATTAAGCAGGTGGGGGCTTCCAGATGTTCTGAACTACAACTCCAGCAGATCCCCCGCTGTATGAATTGGGCTTGATGGGAATTGAAGTGCAAAACATTGTGAGAATAGCCATCTCTGCCTTAGATCGTCACATGTCACCAATCGTGGTGGGACTCCTGGCTAGAAATAGGGCAGAGGGCAGCCAAAGGTTGCAAGGCCCAGTGGCAGCTTTGCCAGAAGGAGCAAAGTTCTTGGGATTCCCCACCGAAAGAGAGCATTTACTTCTCTTAGGAGGTGCTTGTTTCCCAGGCACGTGATTTGGAGACTAAGAATTCACGCTAACGGGAGTTTCAAGCTCTTCTAGCTAAATTTATTTGCCTTCGGACTCAGACCACTCATTGGCTGGCGCTCATACTACAAGCTGAACCTCAAACCTGAGTTAACAGACCACCACCATGTTTGCATAACACGGTACAGCCACATAAAGGCACTCTTAGGGCAGAGCAAGCATGCTAAGACAACAGCAGAGTGCCCACAGCTGGACCCCAACAGCAATTTAGCCCCACCTAGCACATCTTACGAGCCCCATCCCTGGTAATTTCCTACGAATCTTCTCACAAATGATCACTCACTCACATGACCTTAATTGTCTGTAGCCACTGAGGGCATTTTTTTTCTTCTGAGAAAGGCAGGCTACGGAAAGCAGAAGTGTGGCAAGATAAAGATGGAGGCAAGGAGACCGGAATGGAGATCACTGTTACCAATGACGTGAAAGGAAAAGGAGCCCTCTGCTTCTGAGAAAAGGACCCGTTTGTGCTCAGCAGCTCATCGTGATGGCTGCAGGGCAGCCCTCCCGCATCTTGTCACCCTCCAAGAGGTCTGGAATAGCAGTTCCCAAAATTTCCCAGCCAGTAAGGGGTTGCTAGGGATTCTGGGAGCCGCCATCCCAATCCATCTGCATGGTGTCCCGTTGGAGACCCACATTGCGAGGCAGTTGGCTCCTTTTTGCTTATGGCGGAGCAGAGACACAGACTGAGAACAAGAAGGACGGGTCGTGTTTCAAGGAACCGGGGGCAGGAAAGGCCTCTCTGTGAAAGACAGAGGATCTGTCTGCAGGTTCTCCCCCAGCTACTTACGTAAAACACGGTGAAAAGCACCAGGATGGGTATTTGCAGCATGCAGACCTGGACGGCAATGCAGTTCCCAATCTCAATGCTGCGAAAGAAAGGAGATGGGAGAGGCACAGCTCAGAAACGTTGGATGTATTTGCTTCCCATAACCCACTGCCATCTGAAACCCCGCCTGGGCAGGGGCATCCCCCAGCTGGATTTGTACACTTCCAGTTTCCAACGATTTCAAGCTTTTTCAGTATTTAGTGTTTTTATGTGACATGCATTTATAGCTATGGGTAGCATAAGGCCTATTTTCCCCATAAAAGGAACCTTATGAGGTAGGTTGGGCTGAGAGCGAGTGACAGGCCCGAAGTCACCAAGGGAGCTACTGTGGCTCATGCGGGACTTGAACCTCAGTCCCACCACTTCTACTTCTGGGAGTTGAAGTCCACGCATCTTAAAGTTGCCAAGGTTGAGAAACGCTGATTGACCCCAGTGCCAAGAGACAGAAGAGATTCAAAGCCAGAATGCTCTTCAAGGGGGACTTCACAACAGCCCTTCTCAGAGAGGCAGCCCTGCAGAAGGACCCACCTACCTGAGGCTGAGATTGTTCTGCAAGGCAAACTGGATTCCGTTGATCAGCTCCGGGATTTCCGGCACCATGGCCAGCACAGTCACGCCAATGAAGTACTGGAAGACAGGGCGAGAATTCAAGGTTAGATCCATCCAACCAGGATCAACCACCACCACTCACCGAAGGGCTGGACAAGGCAGGGGTTTTCAGCACACTGAAGACCACAATTTTCCAGGTGACAGGGAACAGTAATAAGTTAACCATTTATAGTGAGCCGATGATAGCCTGAGCTTCTTCATTAAAGACTCCTTTGCCATCCCTGCCTTATTTCTCTCCTGTCTGGCTCCCTCCCTCCCTCCAAGTGTGGATCCTTGGGTGGGTAACAGCGCTCTCCAGAAATCCAAAGGGTTCTTGTTTCCGGAGTTGGCTGCCTCGCGAGACCTGTCATCTTCTCTGCTCGCTGCTCCCCCAGGAGCAATCTGCGAACTGCAGCCCCTCTCCTGGCTTCACCCTGAACTGCTGGCAAGAGGAACACTGCAGGATTAGCAAGATAATTTTCTCCCACCTTCAGGATAGGAGGAAAGCCCATCAGTTGAGCTTAGTGCTAAAACTGTCAGCAGTAGGGCCTGAAGATACTCCGGCTGGTCACAGACCACACCTGGACTTTCAAGAGAGGAAAATCCCCCACTGTTTACACGACATTTCTCTAGTGTTTCACCCCTTTTAGCCTGCTGCAGAATTCTTCCTCTTACTTGCCCCCCAGAAAGTCAACCCATGAACCTCTGTGGCCAAGGGCAGGGGACTCATTGCCCACAGTAAAACACCTTCATAACGACACCACGCTGCTGAGTAGAAAAGGACCTCTCCCATATCTATTTGACTGGAAATGATGAGGATTTCCCACTAACCGTGGTGCTGCTCTCCCACCAGTTTGGCTCCTTTCTGAATAAGCCAGCTCAGAGTCTTGGCACCAAGGACAGGACCTCTCCCTCCTTACCTGAGAGACCGGGGAGTTGTTCAGAATGGGGCTGATATGCTCGGTGGCGAGATCGGCACAGGCAGACATACCAAGGGTGGCCACCAGAAGAATGACCATGGCTCTCCAGCGGGACCAGTGGACCACTGCACTGTGATGGTGACCGGGCACTGCAGAAAAACCAAAGAGGGGTCCCTGAGCACGGCTCAGTTGCAGCTTCGCTCACCTCCGGCTCGACATGTATCCCACGTGTCAAAGAAAAGATTACAAATAAACAGCACCCCTGAAAGTATATTTCTACCGTGAGCTCAAGAGGTCTGTGGGGACCCATCTCATTTCTTTTCCATGTAGAACCCTGTTTACTTTGGGAGCTGGATTAAAAAGCTTTCCCGGAAAAGAATATTAATACCAACTGAGATAAGCAGATATTGTATGTCAGGAATTCAATCTTCTTTGTGCAACCTGGTTCTGCACAGATGAGAAGCCTGGATAGGTGTCAGCCACAAACCAGGACTTCTCAGATTGTGGACCAAGACCCCCTGGGAAGGGTCATAAGCAATGGGGGGGGGGGGCCAAAGTTTTGTTTTGTTTTTTAGAGCAGGTATGCGCAGGCAAAGTGGGGGCACCACCAAAACTCACCCTGAGCTTCACTCCCCACTTTGCCTGCAACTGAGATTCCAGACAATTCGAGAAAACTGTGATATAGATATATATGGGAATGTAGTTATTAAAAGCAAGGGGTACATCTATTTCTCACCCAATCCTAATCCCAATGAAATATTAAGGTTTTTTTACAGGCTACCTCACACAAATCATTAATCCCTTTGGGGTCCCGGCATCTACGCCCCCCAGGAAGATGCAGAACCTTTTGTTTTGCCTCGAGGGCCACACAGCATTGTCTCTGGACCATCATCAGAAAGAATGGTGAGAGCAGGATGAAGATGCGAGGGTGGGAGCCAAATAAAAAGCAGTTGATTCAATTTAACTTAAAATGAGCACCAAGTTAAGTTAATCGGATGACCAGGAGCAGGAATCTTTTTAGGTGTATCTGGGGTGCTGACTGCCCGTGGGCACACTCCCCAAATGGCTGCCGTGGAAGGCATGGCCACTCACCAAAGGCCCATGTAACGTAAAGTGAACCTCCAACGGCCCCCACAGCTTTCAGAGGACCCAAGTGGCCCTGGGGTCGCAGGCTCAAAGCCAGCATCTACATGCCCTGCTCTTCCACCCGGGGCGAACCAAGACCAAGACAACTTACTGTGGCAGCCGCTGATGTGGATGTCGTAGATGTGGGAGTGCGTCTTCAAGGTGAAGATGAGCCCGATGAGATACGCCGCTGGGAGCAGCAATGACACCGTGTACACCAGGGGTCTGCCATGTACAAAGCTACATCTTACCCTGGGAATGTCCTCCAGGCCAGAAAAGGTTTGAAGCAACTGGAGAATCAACTTCCTGATTGGGGGCTCTCTGGATGGGCTGGGACTACCGCTCCCATATGCCTTGACAGCTGGGATTTGGTAATTGTAATCCCACCCCACCCACAGAGCCCCCCCTTTGGGGAAGGTGGGCTCAGGCAGAATATCGGATATGGCTTAGACAATTAATCTGTTGGCCAGGGCTGTCCATCCCAGCAGTGATGATTTCTCCTGATCCCTAGGAGAAGTCTTTCAAAGGACAATTCAAATCCAGACTTTCTATGTTCTCCTGCCGGTTTAGCTCCTTCCTGAATCTCAAATGATTCCCAGATCTGAAATGGGGCCACTGAATCAGATGCTGGCCAATTCACACACACAGAGGGTAGCAGGAAGTCCACAAGAGGCTGGATGGACCAAGAGTTATGGCTCCCTCCATTTCTCCAGTGACCAGAAGCACTTAAAACTCAGGGCTGTCCTGTTCCCACAACATGCTTAACTGGTCAGTGGGAATGGGGAGCTGGTCGGTTGTGGGAACATCCAAAAGGGGTTCCTTGACCCAGTCAACTGGCCCCAAAAGAGATTAGATTTACCCAACCACCAGAGTCTTGCCCTTAAACAAACTACACCAGTCACCTGTGTAGTCAATCATCTGTCCTGCCTTGCCTGTCTAGTCCTCCCAGCAATAGAGCTGGAAAGAAAGAGTGGCTGAAAAAGCCAAGTCTCCCTTGCAAAACTCAGCCAGCAGAGAATACACTTCTCAAGTACTGATTGACTGCAGCAGCTAAGCCATGCCTCCTGCTCTCCACCCAGCCAATGGGGAAGGAACCTGTGAAATAATGAGGTCTTGCCAGACTCTCTTGGCACTGCCAGGTGCTCCTCAAAAAAAAAAAGTGGGGAGTGGGGAGTCTATTCCCATGAGCAACATCTGATCTAAACAGCGTGACTGTGTGCTGCCAGAAGCACCAATAAGGAGATCTGATGGGTTAGTAGCTAAGTGTGTTGTGAGAACAGGGTCACAGAGGACAAAGAAGTCCCCAGCTCCTCTGACCAACTTTGAAAGGGATGAACATGACAACTTCCTTCCCACGGTGTCCCAGCAAGAGGTACTCACTCAATATGGCTGTAGTAGAGAGTCCCATTGTTCTCCATCTACCAAGACAGAAGTTAAGTGTCAGAGATGCCTAGTCAAGACCCGTGCATTCTGAACAAAGGAAGCCCAGATCCTTTGATTGTCAGAACAATCCAACAAGCCAGATACGTCTAAGCTGACCTGTGCCAACCTAAGACCCCCAACCTAAGACCCTCGGGTGTGTTTGGACTACAACTCCAAGCCCATCTGGGAAGCTGCCATCCCAACACAGTTGGGGAGGGGAGGAGGTGACAAGGCTGAACCTGGCTTTTGCTCATCCATTTTAATCTGGTGCTGAAAGAAGACCGTTGGAGGAATTGCTTGCTGTGATGTGTCGTTGAAGCCCAGATTGGAGGGTCATGCTCACCAAATCGAAGTGACAGTTCTGGCAGACGTAGTGCCCAGGCAGCTCATGGGTAAAATTCTGGCATTCCCCACAGATCAGTCTTCCATAGACTTTGGAGAAGAGAGTTGGAGCAAAGACACCTGGCAGGTAAAGGAATGTGGGGGGAGTGTTCACATGTTATGCCACAATCAAGGGCAAAACCATCCAGGCATTGGCTAATCGGCACAGCCCTGAGAATCATCACACAATGTTCTGGATCCAGCTTCCTTGTTTATGTTATGGGCAAAAAACTCAGCAAGTTTCTTCTTGAATTAAGGAGGGATACACCCTCTCACTTTGCTCAAGTGGGTTACCATCAAGCAGATATACAACTCTTTTCCAAACTCCTTTTGATGTTTGGTAGGGACGAAACGTGCCTGTGACATCACAAGCACTGGCCAACAGAGTCCCATCACAGCCGATCAGTATAGGAGGAACATAGCAAAAGCTGTTTTTTATCCAAGGAAAGTTGTGCCTCTAAATCGCTTTTCCCTCTGATTAAAAGTACCCAAGCCCCCTTCCTTTCCTCTTCTGTGATCTCCATCTGATGGTCTTTCGAGCTGCCTTGAGTTCAATATGCTTTGGACAAGGACTCAAGACAGCTGCCAAGAAGTGGATTAACAGCAGCGGGGTGCAAATCCTTTCAAAATTTGAGATGTTTTGAGTTGGGAACAGCTCTTCTGATCTCCCCAGAAACATCCTGATACTGTCCTGTCTATTCCAGAGTTGTCCCATATCTAATAGCCCCTTTCATCCATCCATCCATCCATCCATCCATCCATCCATCCATCCATCCATCCATCCATCCATCCATCCATCCATCGCATTTCCATTATTATTATTTGTAGTATTTTCAGTTAGGAAAACTGCTTCCAGAATGGCCAGAACCACAGAGAAACACATCTGAACATGTTTTGAGCTCAAAATGTGATGTTTCAGCTCAGCATTTTGAATTTGAAAAGGATTTGGACTTCCCTATCAAAACCTACAATGTTAAAAGGACTTTGGAAGAAGCCACGGAGACACGCAGAGCTTACCTCCCACAGACAAAAACAGAAGGGCAGAGCTGACTCCGGCCGATCGGCTGTTGAATCTTTGTTCTTGATGTCGGATGCCGCCAATCACCATGCAGAGTCCCTTGAAGGCAGAAGGAAGAGCACATTTTATCTCTGCATTAGACTGGGAAGAAACTTGGATTAAGCAGGAAGGATGAGGTTGACCCAACATGGTATCTTCTGCAGGTCCTGAACTACAACTCAGATACTCTCCAGCCAGCAGACTTCCATGAGGATTGGATGAAAGCTTAGTCCAGCTGGCTGGGGAATTCTGGGAGTTGAAGTCCACACATCTTAAAGTTGCTAAGGTTGAGAAACCCTGGTCCAAAAATATGGAAATAGGTAAGAAAGGCTAAGCTAGGAGATTTTCTCTTCTGTAGTGGATCTCTTCTCTTCTACAGCGGATGCAGAACTAGCAGCTACAACTCCTCCCCAGAGCAGTGCTACTCAGCATTTCTTCTCCAAAAGTGTATCCAAAAATATTGGACCAGTTATGTTCCAAGGCCTCTAAAAGCGGGAAGAGTGAGTTTCTGGGATAGTCACAATCTAGATGCGATGCTTGCCATTGTATCTAATTGGAATACTTTTTTTTTTTTTTTTGCTGTAGAGTATTCCATGTTCCAGCAGAATTCCAATCAAATTTGGGCCAATCAAACTCATAAAACCAAGAATGGAATGGAGGCCCCATCAAAAGGCGTTCAAGGCCCAGACTCACCGGGACGAAAAGGACGCAGCCCAAGAGAGTCCCGGTCAGAGCAGACTTGACAATTTCCTCGTAGCACTTGTTCTTCTCGTGAGCCCCCTTGATGAGCGCAGTGATGTAGAACGTGAGCTCCGTGATGGAGCCAAACGTGGCATTCACCACAGCCCCCACCGCAAAGTTGCTTTGTGCTGAGATACTGGAGGAAAAAGAGGAACAGAGTTTCCCACAACCCCATCTTGAGGTGCTGCTTAGGTTCTTCAAGGAAGATAAAAGAGGGAAGAACATGAACAGTTACATCCAGCGTGGACAAAAGACCCTGAGCTTTTGCCCAAAGATGCATTGAAGGGTCAACCTGATATCCAGACCTTTAGCTCTACCGTTAGCTAACCTGATGGCCTTGATCAGCAAAGGACAGTCAATCAACAGAGTTTCCATCCTGGTGCCTTCTAGAGCTGGTGGAGCTCCATCTCTTATCATATTTTATTAACACATGAGTGGGAAGAAGGATTGTCACAGTTCAACACCACTGGAGGGCAACAGATCGAAGGTGACTGCTCTGTCCTTTGCAGACTCCATAGGTCCCGCTAACCTAAAACCCTCACTGCCGTAAGATGTTTAATTACATAGCATGATATGCAGCTTTCATTCTAGCTGGCTTCATGCTTCTGCTAACGTAGGCCTGTTCGTTACCAACGTCTCCATACCATGTGGCAGACTGCCCAGTTCCCATTCACTTTGCCAAATTCATTCTTTGGGCCACGCTGGCTGAGGGATTCCCTTTTAGGACATCTAAGAGCATAAGACTGTTGTGCTCAGAATGGAGGTAGAAGAGCTGTGATGGGACGCAGACAATCCTTAGATCTTCAACCTAGTGGTGTTCACACCTTTGAGTTGTGCCCAGGACAGCAAACAGCAACAGCAGGAGAGACAAGTGCAGTTGTCCTTAATAGCACTTAATAACACTTCCCTACGGGTTGTTCTTGTTTAGTGACCACAATTGGAACCAGCTACTTGGTCATTAAGTGAAGGGGTCGCTAAGTGAACCTGCAACTGTGCTTATGATCTTATATCAGCTTTCCTTTGGTTTACAGACCTGTGAAGGTCGTGAGTGCAAGGATTGGTCATAAAGTTATTTTTTTCATCACTGTCATAATTGCGGTTGCTAAGCAAGGCAGTCGCTAAATGAGGACTACCTGTACTTGGTTGCACAACTGCAATCCACTGGTTTAGCTGTCCTTTATACCAACCCAGCTGCTTCTTGCAAATGGGCTCCAAGCATCATTCCAACCAGTCCCTTTTTCTGTGTCTGTCATCATTTCAATTATCCTTCTGTGCTTTTTTGAACTTGTCTGCCCTTGAGGATATTCCAAACTCTCAGCATTCCCCGCATGGTTAGTGTATTTATGAAAGTGGATAGATGAATAGTGGATGAACAACTTGTTCTGGAGAAGCCAGAGTTCTAGAACACAGGACATTTTCCACACCTCTCCTTTGTACCCATTTTGGAAACCAAGGAAGATGTGAGGAATCTTGATAATGCTAGACTTTTTTTTAAAGAGGATCCCACTTCTTGTGATTAAATGTTCATAAAAAGTTCACCTGGCAATGGCCATGCCAATGTAGTAGGACAGAGGCATGATGGAGAGTAAAGCCAGGGTGAACTTCGTCACAGAGCTGGTGTAGTAGTTGTGTTTATCGGCATAGCCCAAAACAAGAGTCACAATGACCAACGGAAGGAGATCTGAGGGTACATGTTTAAGGAAAATACATCTGTGACTGTACCTTCAGTCTACTATGATGGCAGCGCAGAGCTGACCTGGTTGAGCTTGAAAAACAAAGCAGGGTAGGATTGGGTTAGCATTCAGATGGTAGACCACTAGAAATCCATGGCTGTAGACTAAATTGGGAAGTTGGAAATACATCTCAGAAGAAGGCAACAGCAAGCCACTTTTGTACTGTTGATAAGGCAACTACCTGGAGGTGTCACCAGGTGTTGAGAACTTTCTCTAAGGACCAACAGCAGGTAACAGCCTAGTGCTATTTGGGGTAAATGAGAGAAGGAGAAGAAGGGAAAAACCACAGTGAGGGGGATGGGACCAGGCCAATGACCTTGGGGGAGGTACAAGGAGGTCACAACCGCATACAGACCTTGAGGGCATCTCATTTTTCCTTTGTAACACAAGCAGGTCATGTTATGGACATCAGTCAAAGGGAGGAAAGGCTAATGTCATGCTCAGCGTGCCCCTGAAGGCCCAAGAAGCAGAGCTGGGTGTCATGGGAGAGCCTGCTCCACAGCTGACCCCCACAGCCCCCAGAAGGATACTGACGGCGAAGACATTGATCCCATCTACAGCGTATTTATAGTAATACGCATTGACGGCCCGGAAACAGCAAAGAACCACCTCCGCATCTAAGGGTACTTCAGTCTGGAGCAGAGAGGGCAAAGAGAGAGAGAGAGAACAAACCAGATTATGTTCGTCACGGTATTCTGCGGTTCAAATTTTCTCATCTGGCGCCCTCCAGAGCTGGGAGTCTGCCTGCTGGCTGAAGGTGAAGGGGATTGTAGTCCAAGGCATCGGAAGGGCACCGCATTGGAAAAGGCCCTCTGGGGTCACTAAAGTTCTGGAGTCTCCAACTTAATTTCAGGTTCCCTTATTGCCTTTTTTTGCAAGCAGCCCATGGGGAAAGGAAGATGGACGCAGCTTTAGTTGAGTGGCCAACGGCTACATCTGTCGGCAAGGTTGGGGAACCAATTTTGGTCCAACTACAAAACACAAAGAAAAGTGCCAAACATTTTGGGCTCACCTGTTCTTAAGGGCTACAGAAGGACAGCCGCATTTGACCACAGTCCGTGCATGGTTATTGTTTTAAGGAAATGATGAATTTTTGAGCCACTGCCTGTTTATCAGCTTGCCAAACCTGACCTGCCTCATGGGAGACCAGGAACTGCTAGGCTTCCAACCAAGTTGCGTTTCAATGCAGACCCGCCTGGGCCCGCTCGCATCCGAGGCGAGTAGCGCCGGCAGAATTTCGCCCAGGACTCAGCCCTGGAAGGCCCCCATCCCCTTCTGGCTTTCTCACCTTCCGCAGGCGCTGAACATGGACGCACTCCGGTGGCAGGAGCAACACCGTGGTGATGGTGCACGCGCTCATTTTGGCAATGGGGATGAAGAAGACGAGAAGCCAGCAGGTGAAGCAAACCAGGGCGTGGGCCAGGGCCAGGAGGGGGAAGCCGGTCAGGAGCCAGATGTACGTGCTGATGCGTCGCTGGGAAGGATGGAGAAGAGGAAGCCACAGTCAGCAAGGTGGGGCTTCCCCCCCGGGGAGAAACGCACTTTGCAGGAGCAGAGCTTGAAATCGTGGGCGGCTTTCAAACAAGCATTATTCATTTGCTAGAGGCGCCCCTCACCTTTCCTTCAGGAGCACACGGAGGCTTACTTACATCTCCTCACAACAACCCTGTGAGGTAGGCAGGGCTGAGACAGAGACTGGCTCAAAGTCACCCAGGGAGTTCCTCAACTGGGGTCTCCCTCATCCTAGCCCAATTTCTTCCCCATTACACCAAACTGGCTTTCCATGCCCTTCTCCTTTGCTTGATACAATCATACATCTTGACATTTTTTTAAAGATATGAAGTAGAGGTTGTAAACAAGAACAGAATAAGGGGAAGGGCTGGACCTCCAGCTACTAAATCTTGGCTGTTGCTATTGTTTCTTCAGTACTCCCTATCCCTATGCAAACAAAGTTTCTAGTCCTCAAGACTGCAGAGGAAAGCCTGGGAAGATATGGGTCCTATGCCCAGAGGTTGTTCAGTGTGTGCCCCCGCACTGAGACGGCACAGACTGAATTATGGATCCTTCTGCTCTCCAGCTGGAGAAGTATGGACATGCCTACCTTGAACCTGGATCTCCCATCTGGTTGGGATGTGATGGGGGAGATGAGAGGAGGGTATTAGCACTATACCCCCAGAGGCATTTGCTGGGGCTGGAGAATCTCAAGAATTGCCATTCCTATGCATTGGAGACTGCCATGCTGGGGAAGGCTACACTACATTGTTGTAAGCCTGAATGTGGCAGCTTATCCCACCAGCCCAGAAAGGAGCCATGAGGATCCTTGGAATGAGCATGGGAGCACTGACCCTTCTTGGAAGGATTCAGAAGAACACCTTCGCTTCTTACCCAGCAGAGCGAAGATGGAGGCAGCCAAGGCCCCCAGCCCTTACCCAGTGAGCCGAGCTGCCCGTCTTGCTCGAGTCCTGCCGGGTGAGCAAGGGGGTTGTCTCCTTCACCTCGTTCACCTCAGTGATGGTGTGGTTCTTGCTGAACTTCATCTGGCAATCTTGACTGTACGTTTTCATCTGGAAGATGGGGAGAAGTACCGATTTGAACCCTCCCTCTGGAATGAGGGCTACCTGATCTGGAGTGGGGGGCTGCCAGATGAAAGCCAACAGCCACTGTTTTCCATACCTCTTTCCTGCCATCTCCAGATCTGGTAGTCATAACATAAACGCATCTTTGAATATACTTGATTCCAGCTTTCCCCAGCCCAGTGTCCTTGCAACTGCAATTCCCAGAACCCCCCATCAGCAGAGATGAAGGTCCTGCTGACTGAGGAATCCTAGGATCTGGGAAAGCCATCCACCAGGTTGGGGAAAGATGCTTCAGCCAGACCAGAATGCTGCCCCCTCCAGGTTGGCATCCCTCTCTGGCTCTTACCTTCTGAATTACTTTCCCGAAAGGCCAGATAAAGTATCCAGCAAGTTTCCAGCACAGCTTTCCTAAAAGAGGGAAGAAAAGTGAAGAGAAAGGCAGGAGAAATTTCTTTTTGGATGGACAGTCAGCATGCGTACAGCCACACGCACCTCCGTATTCCTCTTGCCTCCTGCCCCATGAAGCCCTGACCCCCATTCTCCAGGGATACCTGGCATCAACATCCTCACCATATGGAGTTCCCAGCACGGTGAGGAACATCAGAAGGGAGACCAGGACGTAGAGCAATGAGAGCCACCATCCAAAAAAGAGGAGGTAGAAGAGGTTGCCACATGTCAGCATAGAACCTGGAGAAGACACAACCACAGAGAAAGGCCACAAGTCAACTTTTGACTCCACCTGTCCTTCAAACCTGAGGAGCTTTGACAGTCTTGTTGAATGGAGACCCAATCACATCCTGGAAGGACTGGGTGCATTACACTTTTCGGGAGGAGGGGGGACGCAACCCCACAAAACAGGCAGCTATTACTTTTGTAAAATTAGATCTTCTGTCATGTGAGTGTTGGTCTTTACTCCTACGTTTATGCCAGTGCAGCTTCATAACAACAAGGAGTAGACCTTCCTCTACGGGGTTGGCAATGCAGTGCATGTAATGCCACTGCCTGGAGACCATCAACTTCCATCTTGTCTTCAATAAAACTAAAAGTGGCCAACATTTCACAAGACAACCCAACATTGGGAAATGTCTATATGGGCACCCATGACATTTCTGGAACATCACAACATCTCAGCTCTTTGGCAGCTACCTAAAACTGAAAATAATTCCTTCCAAGCATGATCCTTAACTTGAATGGCTTTCAAAGGGGACTGGAGAAAATCACGGGGGCCAGGTCCAACAAGGGCCATCAGTCTTGAAGACTCTGTGTTACCTTTGGGTTGGGGGCCTCATGCCTCCAAGTACCATTTGAGGGGGAAAATGACAGGAGAAGGATATGATTCTTCCTCCTGCTGGTGAGAATCTAGTGGCATCAGGTTGGCTGCTGTGAGAAATAAAATGATGGATTAAGATGGGCCTTGGCTGATCCAGCAGGGCTGTTCTGATGGTCTAACCCGGGGTTTCTCAACCTTAGCAACTTTAAGATGTGTGGACTTCAACTCCCAGAATTCCCCAGCCAGGCTAACAAACCCTGGTCTAATCCAACAATAGCAGCAGAAGATGGCTTGGGATTTACCGGTGGGGCGTTTGATTATAGTCAAGTCCGAGTAGAGCTCTTTGACAATTTCTGACCGATCCTCCCAAGGCCGAGCTGTGACGTGACTCTTCCATTTCTTAAAGCCAAACTGTATGAAGAAGCACAAAGCTGTATGTTAAGACTACTTTACTAAGGAATCCCTAAAGCAGATTTTTTTCTTACTTTTTGCTCACGTATACCTATGACATTATTCTGGGATGTTGGGTTTTATCCTATTCCACAAATATTACCTAACCTATCCAAGGCTTTTGGTGAGGGAGAACATTTTGTCCTTGTACGGTCTGTTGTTCTTGCCATCTTTTATTTATTTGTATTTGTATTCTTATCATTATTTTAAAACTGGCTATTGTATTTTCCTTGTTTTAGTTGTTGTGAAAAGCCCAGAGTCATTGGGAGTCTGGCAGCCTACAACTTTGATTAATAAATAAAGGGAAATGCATGCTGCCTGGAACCAGAAAACCCATTATTTTTATGCTATTTAAAATTGTGGGGCCTGGAGATGTACAAGCTACATTAAAATAAGTATAGCACAACTTTTGAAAGCAGAAGGAACCTTTAAATAGATGGAAAACGCAAGAACATTGTAAAATTAATTTACCCCTGTTAAAGGCCAGCAGGAATTCAATTATGCGAAGCTTATAGAAAAGTGGTATTATCAATGTTCTGAATTATGTATTTCAGGAAGGCTGCAGACCTGTGTGCGCTCCACGTTAGTTATGATGGTGCTTACGTTTGTCTTTAATGCACTTGTCTTTCTGTCCCAGTGCAGGCTCAGACAGTTCTCCACAAAACAATACTGGGTGGGTATTGCTTAATGGAGCCTTTAAATGGAAAGAAACAAAGGCAGAAGTGGGGGAAGAAGAAGAACAAGCACAAGAGGGTTAAAAACGGAAGACTAATACGTGGATTACCCCGAAATAACTTGTTGGCAAGAGGACAAGTATCCAGTAGAAACCCTGCCTATGAAGACTTGTAAATATGCCTCCATCTTAGAGAAACCTCTTCTTTAAGGAATGCAGCTGTAACAGGTGAACATGAGTTTCCTCTCTAACCAGGATTCAGACTCTGAATTGCCTTGCCAGCTAATCCATGCCTGGATGGGAGACCACCTGGGGAACTTCACAGTGACATCAGAAGCTCTTCCAGGAGAACATGCAGTAATGGCAAAATTAAAAGCATATATTTGCAACAGAAGCCTAACTAAATGTAAGGAAGAATGGTTCCCATACATACTACATACTATGCAGCGAGAGGAATATAAGTATCTGGAGTATGGTTTTTAATAGGAAAAAGAACTGACTAAAGAATTGAAATCAGAGACACACAAAAACAAATTTCAAATGTCTATAAATATTGTACATTAGTCAGAGTATTATACAGGGGAAATTAGAAATTAATATTTATAATAGTTTTAGTATTTTTTTGTATTCTTAAACAACAAATCATTGAGATTTCGGCACTTAGCTCAGAGATTTAAATTCTTACTTACATTGTTAAAACTATTTAATGAACTTAAACATACAGTAACTTAATGTTTTCCATGGTTAATTGCCAATCAAAGGTAGCCTAACTATAATTTTGGTAATTCCTTTGTCCACTTCTGTAATTTGAAATTTGATATTATATTTCCCTACCAAATATTTTTTCTTCTTTTGCTTGTTTGTTTGCTCTGTGTTCTTCTTATAAAAATATCATTATTATTTTTAAAAAGAGAGGCTAGAATATACCACAAATGCAACCTCCCCCCACCCCAAGACTTTTGCCTGCTCCACAGAGTGCAGAGTGAGACGCATTCACCCGTCTCCACCCAGAATTAAAGGAAACATTATTATATGCAGCTGGTTTTTTGGCAGCCATTTCTTAGTCCCTTTCATCCTGACCTGCCTTCCCCTTACCCCCTTTTTAGCAACCAGGGCTGGCGAGCGCAGGTACAGGATCTCCCTTTCCCCAAGTGACCATTGCTAAGATGGCAAACAAGCCCACCTGGCCACCTGCCATCTCCAAACTCCGCTCCATCCTTCCCCAACCCATGGAGACGTTTGCGGGCAAACCTTGTAATTGTTGGAGAGTCTGTGGGCTTCCACCTCGTTCTCCGCCGTCAGCGTCATCTTCAGCAGGCACCCGTCACACGTCTGCACTTCCTCGGAGTGATGCGGGCAGCAGCCCGGGCTGGAAAGCACTAGGTAGAGAGCAGATGGGGGCTGGGGGCTGGAGAAGTATTTTGTCACAAAGAGCCCAGCACCCAATGCTTTTCAGCAAGGAATGGCTGGAAGTTTGCTAAGCCACAGTTTAATCTGTCAGCCTGATCTTTTGGATTTTCACCACACAATCCATAAACTTTTAGGATCAACTATCAGCAGCGAAGGAAGCATCACTCAAGAAATACACTGCAGACTAGCACTTGGTAGAGCGGTCATGAAGGCCTTGGAAAAGATCTTCAGATGCCACGATGGGTCTATACCTACAAAGATCAGAATCGTGCAAGCCGTGGTATTCCCTGCGATACTCCATGGAAGCGAAAATTGGACTTTGGAGAAGCAGGATAGGAAGAGCATTGACTCTTTTGAACTGGAGAAGACTCTGGAGAATACCGTGGACAGCCAAGAAAAGCAAAAGATCATCAACCAAATCAACCCAGAGTTCTCACTCGAGGCCCAAATGACCAGACTCAAATTATCCTACTTCAGACACATTATGCGAAGACCTAAAACTCTAATGCTGGGAAAGGTGGAAGGAAAGAGAAGAAGAGGACGACCAGCAGCCAGGGGGAAGGACTCGGTTACAGCAGTGGTGGGTGCACCGTTGGAAGACCTGAAGGACCAGGCTGGAGACAGATCATCCTGGAGAAAATCCACCTATGTCAGTGTTGTCCAAACTTGGCCACTTTAAGATGAGTGGACTTCAACTCCCAGACTGGGGAATTCTGGGAGTT